TTGAAACTTTTGTGTCTTTAGATGTGTCTCTTGCAATAGCATATAGCTGGATTTGGGGTTTTTCTGTCTCCTAACTGGAGGGATTTTCTGTTTGCATTCTCTGTGATTACTATCATAAAATGTACGTTTTTTTCTTTTGTGTTCTTTTGTGCTTTTTGTGCCTTTTTTCTCTTTTCTCACCTCCTCTGGACTGCTCTATTATTATTCACTCCATTTTCCCTCAACTAGCTTGTAAGTTTTTTATTTCTATCCTTTTGATGATTACTTTAGATTTTTTTGTTTTATTTGTTATTTTAAAAGTTACAAATTTTGTTTTAGAAAATGAAGTGTTTTTACAGAAAATACAGTGAGAAACAGTCCCATATACATCCGGGATTCTACTCCTCAGAAGCAACCACATTCGTTGTCCAGGGCAGAGCTTGGCAAACGCTGGCCCCCGTCTGTCTTTGTAAATAAAGTTTTATTGGAACACAGCCACGCCCTTTCATTTCCATATGGTCTCTGGGTGCGTTCCTGCTACAACAGCAAAGTTGAGTAGGTGAGACAGAGACTGCACGTGGCCCACAAAGTCTAAAATCCTTACTTTCTGGTCCTTTACAGAAATATTGCCAAACCCTGGGCTGGGGTGTCTCCTTATACATCTAAATCTTGTCCTTGAACCCTCCTCTCCTTATTCTACAGTTCAGATCTGGAGGAGGCATCATAACGTTGTGGGTAACACTGGGGCTCCCAAGCTGACAGCCTGGCTGGGCATTTCAGGTCCCAACTCTTAGTACCTCTGTGCCTCAGTCCCCCGATCTGTAAAACAGAAATAATATCAGTCATACATCAGAGGCTTATTTGAGGGTTCAATGATTTACTGCATCAATAATGTTTAGAAAAATGTCCATTATGCTGCTGGTGATCAAATGTCGGCTTCTGTCACTGTTACTGCCGTCCTGTCCGGAAGGTGGATTTAGCTTATCAACCACCCGGGCCGCCACCCTCCCGACACAGGTGTGTCGTGGCCTTCGGTGGAATCCGTGTTCACCATTTACAGCTGCTCTGGGAAGAATGATGGGTTACGTTTCCCTTCTTGTCATTATTTAGTTATTCTATCATTAATAGCCACCTTGCTTGAAGTTTCCATTTTTAGTCTGTAAAATTATTTCGATTACAAAGCCTATCTTTACTCATCTCAGATGTCAACCTCATGCTGACGAGACGAACTGTGGCTAGTTGTGGAAAGCCGTAGCACGTGCCCCGCGTGCAAGGTAACGATCACTCGCAGCAGTGGTTGCCATTCACCACTCCGGGTGTAAGCCAATGCAAGATGACATTGCTAAATCTTAAAATTCTTTTTCTAACCTCTCCGATAGTGTCTCCAAAAACAATTTTTTAAGAGTGAGCAGCTTTTGATTTTGCCTAAGTAGTTACAATTTACCGTCTCTCTTCTGCAAAAGGTCACAAGCTTGAGTCCAGGAGTCTTTCTGACCGTTCCTAACCTAAAACACGGCACCGAGCTTGTGTGTAGTCTGTTCTCTGCTGCAGTCTGATCTTGGGTGACTTTAATAAGAGGACACTAGGCCACGTCTCCACGATTATATTTATCTCTGGAAACCAATAGGTCTATAAACCTTCAAGAGAGGATAATTCTTGCTCTTTATAACAATTATTAGGTAGTTAATTATTAAGTGTGATAATATGGTTTGGGCTCAGACAAACATACGGTATATAATTATCTTTCCAGAATTCCATGAATTCTACATCTGGGTGAGTGTTACTGGGCTCACCTGCTTTTTTTTTTTTTTTTTTTTTTAACCATTTCCAGTGCTCTTTCTTCTTGTGGATCCATCGCGTAGATTGAAATTCCCTTCTGGCCGCATTTTTGCTCTTTGCAAAGAATTTCTTTTAACATTCCTAGTAGTCCAGATGGGCTGGAAATGCATCCTCTCCACTTTTGTTTGTCTGAAAACGTCTTCGTTTCATCTTCATTTTTGAAAGATACTCCCTCTAGGAACAGCACTCTAAGGTGACAAGGCTTTTTTTGTTTTCTGTGTTTTCCCTTCTCGTCACTCCACTGCCTTCGGGCTTGCATAATTTCTGAAGAAAAGTCTAGTGTAATTCCTATCCTTGTTCTTCTCTATCCGTAATGTTTCTTCTTTTTCTAGCTGTCTTCATGCATTTCTTTGTATCTTTGGTTTACAGCAGTTTGGCTATAGTGTGTCTAGTACTGGGGTTTTGCGCGTGGGTGTGTGTGTGTGCATGCGTGTGTGGGGAGGTGTGTGTGTGAATATATTGATATTTGTGCTGTTTGGGGCTCTCTGCCATTGTTTGGCTTTGTTATCTTTCACTAATTTTGGAAAATACTCAGCCTTATCTTTTCAAATATATCTCTCTCCCCCTCCTCCTCCTCCTCCTCCTCTTCTCTCTCTGACACTCCACATACATGTATGTTGGATGGTTTGACGTTGTCCCTCAGTATTCGGTTGCTCTGTTCAGTCTCTGTTCACTCTCTTACTGTTAGCATTTGAGATTCGGTGTGAAGAGTTGGGCCTGATCAGTCTCAGATTCTATCCGCCACTGTGTCCCGTGCACCTGTCAGTCAGTAAAGGAAATTCTTCGCCTCCAACAATGTGTTTTTATTTCTTATATTTTCATATGACTTGTTGTATGGTTTCCATCTCGTTTCTGAAGCGATGTTACCTACCCTTTCCATGAGATCCTTTAACATATCACTCGTGGTTATTTTAAAGTCCTCCGATAGTGCCAGTACCTGGGCTCTCTCGCCGCAGCCTGGTTCCATTGATCAGTCTGTCTCCTGGCAAGGTATCGTTCTTTCTTACACACGTGTGTCTCATACATTTTTACTGAAGGTTGGACATCGTGTGCAAAAGAGACTGAGATGAAAAGTATCTGTGCCCAGAGTTAGACACGCCTCTTCCTCTGTCAGCCTGTGAGCGTGAGGGGCGGAATTGCTCTAGTCGGGAGTTAGCTGATTGGGGGTTTTGCTGTTGCTTTTATTAACCTCAGTGCAGCACGGACTTTAGACTCCTCCAGCAAAGGGCTACTATTACCTGTGCTTAGAGAAGGGGGCCCAGGGGGCCTGAGGTTTCCCCATTTTTCCTGCTCCAGCCTCAGCCTTCAGCAGTCGCCAGGTGATGTGGCACAGAGGGGTCTCTCTCCATGCCCTTGTGCTTCCACAAGTGGAGGGCGTGCTGTTGCAGCCAGCACTGGGCTCGTGTCGGATATCGGGGGCTCTGTGGCGTCCTGGCCTGGTGTGCCCGGGGCTCAGAGGTGGAGTTCTCAGCATCCGTTCCCCTAGTTCATGTCAACCAGACTTTGCTTGTGCCTGAGTTTCCCACCCCCCGGCGTGACAGCAGACCTCTGCCGGATGTCGGTCTAGGATCCTGGGCCCGCAGGGTCTCCTGTCCTTCTTGCGTGGGCAGAGGATCCTTACTACTAACCCTCCTACAGAGCAGCGGATTTTGCCTGGTCCCCGGGGTGGGAGGGGTTGCCACCTTCCTCAGTCGTTTAAAGCTTGTACCCCTACTGGAAGAGGACCCAGACAAGGCGCAGGAGCTTCCTGCCTGTGCCTCAGCCACAGCAGATCACCTCCTGCTCGCTGTGACACCAAGGGGGGCTCTCTCTGGCCTTCTGAGCCTTGCCCAATCTTGCCCACAGGCACCTGGTGAAGGCCTGTGGAAAGAACTTGGAGTGAGTGAAAAACCTCCTATGTTGAGGGCTCCCAGCTATTTCAAACCGACGTGGTAGCCCATGCTCGGCCTGTAAGAATTTTAAAATTTTTAGCTGATTTATTGGCAAACTTACAGACAGAAGTATGGTCTCAGGTGGCTGCAAACAGGTCTGTCTCCGCACTGTTAGTCCCCAGACCTGGGCTTGCATACCCTAGGGAGAGGGGCGCATGCTCTGCAGGGACAATTAGAAGCCACCCTCCAGAACAGGCACGAATGCCGTGCGCATCACAGCCTCTAACCTGTGCGATAACGTCAAGGTTGCTTTGATCTAAAGGGAGGATTTATGGTGAGTGTGTGTGCTTCCACTAAGGACAGTAAATAACCAGGAATGGGAGGCATTCACAGGGACTAGGGTTAATCAGAAGTCAACATGCAGACGGGCATCCAAGATGGAGTCACTTATGTCTCCACAAGCATGGTTGCTGGATCACATCGCAAGACTGATTAGGTTCGTAAGAAACTACCGAACTGCCTTTCAAGGTGGCTGTACCATTTCGCATCCCCACCAGCAATATATGTGCGTTCCTATTCCTCTGTATCCTTGTCAGCAGTTGGTATTATCATTTTTAAAAATTTTAACCATTCCAATAGATGTACAGTGGTATCTCATTGTTGTTTTAATTTGCAATTCCCTAACGACGAATGATGTTAAATGTCTTTTCATGTGCTTATTTTCCAATTGTGCATTTTCTTTGGTGAGATATCTTTTCATATCTCCCCCCCAACTTTTGTTTTTCTTTTGAGATAAAGTTTCACTCTGTTACCCAGGCTGCAGTGCAGTGGTGTCATCATAGCTCACTGCAACCTCAAATTCCTGGGCTCAAGCGATCCTCCTGCCTCAGCCTCCCAAGTAGCTGGGACTATAGGTGCGCGCCACCACAACTGGCTAATTTTTCTGTTTTGAGTAGAGACAGGGTCTTGCTCTTGCTCAGGCTGGTCTTGAACTCCTGACCTCAAGTGATCCTCCCGCCTTCGCCTCCCAGAGTGCCAGGATCACAGGCATGAACCACCGCACCCAGCCTTTTCCTCATTTTTAAATGGGGTTGTTTTCTTATAGTTGAGTTTTAAGAGTTCTTTGTACATTTTGGTTGCCAGTGTTTTATCAGGTATATGTTTTGCAAATATTTTCTCCCAGTCTGTGGATTGTGTTTTCATTCTCTTAGGTCTTTCACAGAGCAGAAGCTTTTAATTTTAGTGACATCTAACTTACCAATTTTTTTGTGGATCATGCTGTTTGTGCTATATTTAAAAAATCATCACCAAACTCAAGCTTGTATGGATTTTTGCCTACATTTTCTTCAAGGAGTTTCTAAGGTTGCATTTCATATTTCTATCTGGGTTCATTGTGAGTTAATTCTGTGTGACGTCTAAGGTCTTTGTCTAGGTTTTTTTGTTCATTTGGTTGTTTTTTTTATATATGGAGGTCCAATTGTTATAGTACTATTTATTGAAAAGACTATCATTTCTCTGTAAAATTTCCTTTGGTCTTTTGTCAAAGATCAGTGGACCGTGTGAATCTATTTCTGGGCTTAGGTTCTGTTGCATTGATCTGTGCGTCTCTTCTTTTGCTGATACCGTGCTGCCTTGATTACTCACAGCCTTGTGGTCAATCTGGAAACCAAGTAATCTGAGTCTTCGACTTCATTCTTCTTCATTGCTGATCTTGACCTTCTGCCTTTCCATACCAACTTTAGAATCAGTTTGTCAGTATCTAAAATATAGCTTGCTAAGATTTTAATTGGGATTGCATTAAACCTATAGACCAAGTTGGGAAAATTGGCATCTTAATAATATTAACTCTTCCCATCCATTAACGCAGAATATCTCTCCATTTATTTAGATATGTGATTTTTTTCATCAATGTTTTTTGTTTTTTTTTTCTTTCTGAGACAGAGTCTCACTCTTTTGCCCTGGCTAGAGTGCCGTGGCGTCAGCCTAGCTCACAGCAACCTCAAACTCCTGGGCTCAAGCGATCCTTCTGCCTCAGCCTCCCGAGTAGCTGGGACTACAGGCATGCGCCACCATGCCCGGCTAATTTTTTCTATATGTTTTTAGTTGTCCAATTAGTTTCTTTCTAATTTTAGTAGAAACGGGGTCTCGCTCTTGCTCAGGCTGGTCTCGAACTCCTGAGCTCAAACAATCCGCCCGCCTCGGCCTCCCAGAGTGCCAGGATTACAGGCGTGAGCCACCGCGCCTGGCCTTCATCAATGTTTTACAGTTTTCCACATATAGGTCCCATACATATTTTGTTAGATATATACCTAACCTTTTTTATTTTCACATACTAGTATAAATGGTATTATTCTACAATTTCAAATTTGAATTGTCCATTGTTGGTATATAGCAAAGCAGTTGACCTTTGTATGCTAACTTTGTACCCCGCAACCTTGCTGTGTGTATATGGTCTCTTGTTAGCTCCAGGAGTTTTTCGGCTGATTCTTTGGGCTTTTCTCCGAAGATGGCCGTGTCACTTGCAAATAGAGGCAGCTATTTCTTCCTTTCCTGTCTGTTTACCGCTTATTTCCTTTTCTTGTTTTATTTGATGAGCAGGACTTCCAGTACAACGCTGAATAGGAATGGTGAGAGAGGACCTAGTGTTTTTGGAGATGTTTCCCTCTATTTAATTTTTAATTCTTTTTCCTTTGTGTTTCGGTTTGGATAATTCCTATTGGCCTGTGTGTGTAGCCATTGATTCTTTGGAGGTGTTCAGTGTGCTGTTAAATATAAAAAGCAAATGTTTCACTTTTTTCTTGCATGTCCGTTCACTTATTTTCTATAGGTTCCGTTGAGCTAGTGAAATCTACCGTATACCGATATATGTTTTCCTTCTTTTCTACAAGACCCTTCAAGTTGATTGTCACAGCCGTTATACAGAGCTTGTCTGCTAACGCAGACACCGGGTCATCTAGGAGTCCACTTCTTTCGACGGTTTTGGTTCTCCCCCCCCTCGCCCCCATTATGGGTCACACGAGCCTGCTTCCTGCTGTGGGGCGATTTCGCTCAGCTTTCCTCCCGCCCCTGCTTCAGGCACCACCAACGTGCACTCGGTGAAGGCCCCATGAGAACGAATTGGGGGGCTGCAGACCCTGTGGCTGGGGCTCCCTAGACCCTGCTCTCGTGCACCAGACCACACACAGGTGCAAAGGGCCAGCGAGTAGTCCCTCGAGCTCCCCACCGCCCTGGCACGGCGGGTCTGCCCCTCCGCGTGCCCTGGCTCCAGGGATGAGCCAGCCACGGTTCTTTCCCTTCTCTTCTCTACGGGGAGGGGAAAAACGCTACCTATACAATTGGTACAGATACCCCGTGTCAGACAGTGGACCAGTGACTCTCCCTGTCCAGGGAAGGGCTTGTCACTTTCTGGAATTTGGTTCATTGTATTTCATTATGTCCTCAGCTCTCTGGTGGGTTTCTAAAAACTCTTGTGTTGTGGCTTCCCCCGCATGTTCTCCTTGTTAGGGTGGGAGCCACAGTTTATTTCAACTTTCTGCATCCCGATCAGAAGCAGAAATCCCTCCTCCTGGTCACCTCTGGCTGGAGGTCGAATGAACTCCAGAGCACCCCACCTTGTGTGGGTCTGGCCTGTGCTCAGGGAGATCCTAAGGGGGGACAGGATGTCAGGGAGCGGGAGGGGAGGATCCCACCTTGGGAACCCTCTGGGCCCTGGCAAAGGGAGGCAGCCTGGCGGGGGTGACTTAAAGGCGGGGCCCGTGAGCAGGGAGCCCTCCCCTCCCGCTCAGGCCCAGCACAAACACGCCCAGGACCCTGAGATGGGTTCTGGTCCCAGCGTCTTGGTTCCCCGGTGGCCAGCCCCGCTGTGGGGGTGCTGCAGCACCCAGCGCTGTAGGAAAACGCCGGCGCTGTCCCAGGCGGGCTGCAGGCCGAGATGAGTGCTTGTTTCTCCCCAGGGAAGCCGCTGCCACCCCTTGCTAGCCGGCTGCGCTTCTCAAAGGAAGAGAAGACCATTGTAAAACGCAAAGCCCGAGGTAGCCTTCGCCTTCCCTCCCAAAACACAGCCCCAGCAGGTGGGCCGGACACTGGGCCTCCTGTGGGGCGGGGGCTCCGCGCAGGGCGGGTGGCCCATGGCCAGGCCAGGCTGCACGCCCCACCTCGGGCGCCGCAGGACGGCCTGGGGCGGAGAGCACGGGCTGGGACGCCAGCCCTGAGCACCTGCTGGATGCGGGGCGCTGCGGAACCGCCCACCCCGGCTCTGGGCTGCCCGTGAGGCCGCCACATTCAAGACGACCGGCGGGGGCAGTGTGGGGGGGCGAGCTGGGGACGGGCTGCAGAGAAGGGCAGGGCAGCGGGCCTCCTGGAGGAGGGGGCCCGGCGGCGACGGGCGAGAGCTGCTGCAGAGCCAGGAGGGCAGGAGGGCCAGCTTCGGTCCTGGGGGCAGGGCAGCTGTGGGGGTCGGCGGAGGCAGAGGGAGCAAAGGGGCTCCCAAGTCCCTACAGGGGTCAAGCTCATGATCACTTAGGTCCCAGGCTTGGGCCACCGGGAAGCACCTGGGCGGCCAGGCTAGACCGCCCCTGGGGCAGGGGGCGGGGTTTGTTGCCTGGCCCCTCCCACCCCAGCCAGGGTCCCGCCCACCCTGCCTGCGCAGGTGCTCACCTGCTCCTTGCCCGCAGCCGCGCAGGAGGCCCAGGACGTGAGGGAGATCTGCACCAGCCCCGGCTGCGTGATGGCAGGTAAGCCCCGCCCCACCGCCTGCCACCGACCGCCCAGGGCCCGGGGCTGCCGGCGCAGGCCCTGCCCAAGGCCACGGGGAGCAACCCGCGGGGGCGGTGCCCGGAGGGCAGAAGGCGCTGTGCGCGGGCAGCTCGGCTTCTTCTCCCGCGGGGCCGCCCCCAGAACCCGCCTCCGCTGCGAGGCCCTGGGACAGCAGCGATCGACCGCCCCGGGGGCTCTTGTCCAGCCTCAAAGGTGGCACTAGCCAAGACCAAGTAGAGCAGAGCTTGGGGTGCTGGGTAGTCCTGGGCAGGGGTCCTGGGTGGAGGGTACAACCCAGCCAGCCCAGCTGAGAGCGTTCAGCTGAACCTCCAGGGCGTCCCTGGCACACTCTGGGTTCCTGGGGCACAGCCATCCCCTCTAACAGAAAACAAACCCCACTGGGGGGTAAGGGCCGCCCCTGCCCCCAGGGACCAAGCACACGGGGAGCGAGGGGCTACAGGGGCAGGGTTGGGGACAGAAAGGGGCTGGCGGAGAGCTGGAGCTGGGCGCCAGCTGAGCAGCTCCTGTGCGCCGGGCGCCTCTCGGCCATGGCCTCTGTCCAAGCCCCTGCGACTGCAGGTGGGAAAGTGAGGCTCCCAGAGGCCACGGGCCCAGGGTGGTGCGGTTGACAAGTGGGAGTCCTCGCACTTGGGTGACCATCTGAGTGGGCGATTCCCCTTGCTCCTAGCCTCACTGCGGCTCAGAGAGGGTGGTTAACTCTCCCAGGACACACAGCTGCGACCAAATCAACAACTGCCCATCCCCGAGGAACAAGACTGTCTCATAGGCTGAGAGACAGGCTTTCGGACTGTCCACAACTCTGTCTCCCCTCTTCCTCCTCCACCCCTGGGGACGAGCAGCCGCCAGGATCCTCCAGAACATGGACCCGTCCAAAGAACCGTGCGACGACTTCTACCAGTACGCGTGTGGAGGCTGGCTGCGGCGCCACGTGATCCCTGAGACCAACTCCCGATACAGCGTCTTTGACATCCTTCGAGACGAGCTGGATGTCATCCTCAAAGGTGGGAGCAGCACAGCCTTGGGGTGCAGGGGGTGGGGCTCTGTGCCCACCCACCTGCGGGCGGCAGTGTGGCCGGAGCGGGGGCTGGCTGGGCCCCACCCTGATGGGCGCTCCCAGGCTCTGTGGGCACTGAGGAGAGGGGACCCCTGGGGCAAAGGCAGCAGCTGGGGAAGGACCACCTTTTGCCGAGTGCAGCGGGGGAGTGGGGACCTCTGACCTGGACCCCTGCCCGGGGCCGCCTCAGGCCTCTGTCCAGCCTTCTGCTGTGCCCACAGCGGTGCTGGAGAACACCACCAGCAAGGACCGGCCGGCCGTGGAGAAGGCCAAGCTGCTGTACCGCTCCTGCATGAACGAGAGTGAGTGGGGGCAGGAGGGGCTGGGCGGGGGCCGGCCCGGGGCTGCCCCTGCCAGGGCCTGGGTCAGCCCCAGGACCCCGCGGTGGCCCCCAGCACAGCAGGGTGGGCGTGGGTGCCTTGAGGACTCAGGCCAGGGGGCTGTGTGCTGTGCCCCTCCCAGCCACTGGTGCAGACTTCCTGTGGGGCAGAGCTCCTGCCAGCAGCCCCGCGACCTCGCTGACAGCCCGACCCAGCACGGGCCACTCTGCCCAGGCAGCAGGACAGTGGGGGCCTGTGTGTGTATTATGTGTATATAGTATATGTCAGTATGTGTATCTATGTATATGCATGTATATGTATGTGTATGCATGTATTGTGAGTCCATGTATGTATATGCATATGTGTGTGTATGTGTGTGATAGTATATAGATATATGTGTAGTATACATATACATATGTTTGTATGTGTTTATATATGTGTTCATTGTGGGTGCACGTGTGCATATGTATGTGTGCATGTGTATGTGTGTACATGGATATGTGTGTATATGTGTAGCATGTGTCTGTATATGTGTAGATGTATGTATATATGTGTGTATGTGTGTGGTGCATCCATGTGTGTAGATATGCATGTGTGTGTTATGTGTACGTATGTATGAGGATATGTGTGTTGTATGTATGTGTGTGTGCATGTATGTGTGTGTGTCTGAGTGTGTATGTATACATATGTGCATGTGCGTATATGTGCATATGTGCGTGCATTTGTGTATGTATATATGGATGTGTGTATGTAGGTGTAGGTGTATGTATATATGTAGATGTGTGTATACGTGTGTATGTGGTGCATGCATGTGTGCAGATGTGCGATGTGTTCCGTGTATATATATGCGCGTATATGTGTATTGTGTGTACATATGTGTGTGCATGTGTATACGTGTGGAGGTGTGTATGTGTTGCAGGGCAGATTTTGAGTGTTTTGGTTCTTATTGAAAGGATTTCCATGCTTGGGGCACCCCTGGCCCAAAGCCCGGCGAATCCTCCACCTGGGGGTCTAAAGCCCAGCCTGTGGCCGTGGCTGCCCCGGGAAGCCAGCTTCCCTCCACGTAGCGCTGGGGTTCTGGGAGGGTAGGGTTTGTTCCCTGTATACCTCAACGAGGACTTGTTGGGACCCCTGCTTGGGCACACCCGAGCTTGTCCCCACCTCTCCCCGCCAGAACTGAAGGTCCATTCATCCTGTCTGGCCAGCACCCACAGGGGACGGTGACGTGCTCTGTGTCCCACTGTTACTTACTCTTTGGCCCGAGAGACTGAATGTGTAAAAGGGCGAGGCTGGACCACCTGCAGAAACAACCCGACTCCCAGCCTGCAGCCGCCAGCCAGGTCCCCTCCCCGGCCACAGGAGGCAGCCGGGAGGTCGGACAGCAACCCCGTAGCAGCGGGCGCCCAGCAGCCAGGGCTTGACTCGGAACCGACAGCTTCCTCCCTAAGTTTAGTTCCTGCTTCCAACCTAAGGCCAACGGGGAAGCTGAATACGCTCCTGACCCACCCAGAGGAGCCTCCGCTGTGTGCGAGCCCCCGTGCCCCTTCCCCAGGCCAGGCCGTCGGGGCTCACCAGGGGCTCCCCTCTTCCGCCAGGAAGCCCCCTCACTCCCTGCCTGCCTTCGACCCCCCAACGCCAGTGACGACCGCCCCGCCCTTGCTTTGGCAATGGGGTCTTGGCTTATTCCACAGTGATTCTCTCTGTCCCCCTCCACGTAACGCGTGGCCGGCGTTCTCCCCAGTTTCCCGTCAGAAGTTCTGTCGCATGTTCCAGCCGCATCTTAGTCTGCCCCGATGCTGGACGTGGCTGTCCCCCTGCACCCCACGGGAGCCTCCAGGGCTGCCTGTCCCTGAGTCTTGGCAGAGTACGAGCCGCCGCTTTGGGCCGCGCTCCCGCTGTCCAGCTCCGGTTCTGCCACCTCCTTCCCACCGTCCTCTCTGTCCTGGGGGCTCGTGTGCTTTCGTGACCCCCACGGGCCCCTTTCGTGCCACGTCTGTTCTCCTGTGCTCAGTCTCCAAGACACCGAGGCTGTGACAGGGTGCCGGTCTGTGTCGCAGCGCGTGAGCCGGGAGTCTGGGGATGACCCCCTCATCCCTTGTCAGGTGTCATAGAGAAGAGAGACTCCCAGCCACTGCTGGACATCTTGGAAGTGGTGGGAGGCTGGCCCGTGGCCACAGACAAGTGGAACAAGACCCTAGGTAAGGCCAGGGGCTTGTGCCAGCCTCGGAGGCAGATGGAGGTGGACGCTGGGCCTGGGGCTCCTGGGGGCCAAGGCCTTCCAGGAGAGCCCCCGGCTGGCTGCTCCTGGGGCACCCCAAGAGGCGCATCCCCACCAGGCCAACCTCAGGGGCCCGGGAGCCCCGGCCTGGTGCTGGGGAGTTAGTGTCAGCTATGACGGGCACCCCGTGGCCCTGCAGGGTGTCCCTCCTGGGCCCCTGGGCTCCCCGCGCTGCAGCCTCCCCAGGGCTCTGTTGTCCCTGGGCTGCTTGGGGAAGTGCGTCCCCCCACATCCCCTGGCCTTCAAGGCTGCAGTGAGCCTGTCACTCTGAGTGGGGCAGGGTCTCCTATGCCCCCTGAGTTCCGGGCTTAGGAGGCCAGATTCACTGTTGGACGAGAGGCTGGGCTGGGACCCCCAGGGCCCAGCGGGTCTCCCAGCGTGGGGCGCTGACTCCCCAGGCCGCAGGTGGGAGCTGGAGCGGCAGCTGGCGCTGATGAACACACAGTTCAACAGGCGCGTCCTCATCGACCTCTTCATCTGGACGGACGACCAGAACTCCAGCCGGCACATCATCTACGTACGAGCCGCGCCCGGGGGGCCGGGGTAGGCCGGGGGCTCTAGCGGGCTCTCGCCACGCAGCGGGGGATGGGTCAGGGCAAGGGCTAGCGGGGTGGGAGCCCCAGGGCCGTGCCCAGGCCGGGCTCCCTGGCTCCCGTCCACATCTGTGGTCCAGGGCACAGGCTGCTGCTGACAGGGTTTCTGTTGGGCCTTGTGGCCCCATCGGCCACCGCACTGGGGCCTGTGTTCTGGTCAGTGAGGCCTTTGGCACCAGAGCAGAAAGCCTGACCTCAAAGGGCCACCACTGGCCACGTGCTGGAGGCCACAGACAAACACCAGAAATGTGCCCAGCACTCTGGACAGGCACATGGGCACATGGAGGCCCTGAGGTGGCCTATACCCCTCACCCACCGCAGCCCCCTTCCCAGCCTCGTGTGCCCCACCCAATCCCGCACACCCCCCAGCATCCCCTTCCGGGCGGAGTGGGTGTTCCACGGGGTGCAGTCCTGGGAGAGGGGCTGCTGCCTACCTCAGCCAGGACGCGGGGACCCCACTCCTTGCCTGGGGTCACAGCCTCTGTGTTTCCAGATAGACCAGCCCACCCTGGGCATGCCGTCCCGGGAGTACTACTTCAGTGACGACGGCAACCAGAAGGTGAGGGGGGCTTTGCCGCCGATGCTGGGCCCACCCCCCACGCTCTGCCCCCAGCATCTCAGGGCCCCGCCGAAGCCCCGCTCTCCTATCTGTCCACGCAGCCCCTCCTGCCCACAGCTGGCACTGGGGAGCACCTGCGTGGTCGCGGGGGGTGGCGCGAGGCACAGTGACCCACGGGGCAGCACTTTGAGGGAGGAAGGACGGGCGTGGCCTGGGGCCATGGGGCTGGGAGAGCCAGGCCAAGGGATGGACTCAGAGGAGGAGGATGAGGATGGCTGCAGCACCCCAGGAGCCCTGCATCCGGCGTCTGGCCCACAGTCAGGGCAGGCAGCTGAGGGCCTGATACCAAGCCCCGGGGAGGACTTGGCCCCTGAGGTTCCCACCGCACTGAGGCCCCACTGGGATCTGGCACGAGGAAGGTGGTCCCGTCCCCGAGTGACACACGTCCTCGGGATCCAATTCCTGACCTCAGGCCGAGGAGAGCCTGGCTAGGGCAGCCCAAATAAACCCTGCAGCCAACAGCCCTGGACCCTTACTGAGCACCTACTGCATGCACCTTCCATGCAGCTGAGCGACTTAATTCCCAGTAGCCCTGCAGAGCAGGTCTCCCATCCCCATGGTGGCCCGGGGGCGTGGAGTGTCTGGGTGTGGCCCGGCAGAGTCCAAGGAAGCAGGCCCTGCCCCAGGCAGCCCCGGAGAGCCCAGGCGGGGCAGACTCGGGTGTCCGAGATGCCCTCGCGTCAGTACCCCGCGTGCCTGAGCCTGCTGGGGCTGCTCCGTGTCCTACGCCCACCCCCGCCACACAGAGAGCTCCATGGGGGCCCAGGCGTCCTGCATCCTCTGGCCTAGGTGCGGGACGCCTACCTACAGTTCATGGTGTCGGTGGCCGCGATGCTGCGCAAGGACATGCGCCTCCCCAGGAACAGCCGCCTGGTGCAGGAGGACATGGAGCAGGTGCTGGAGCTGGAGACGCGCCTGGCCAACGTGAGGAGGGCCGCTGGGGGCAGCAGGGCCGGGGCCCGGAGCTGCGCCCTGGCCGCCCACCCCACGTGACTGCCCGGTCCCTGGTGCAGGCCACGGTACCCCAGGAGGAAAGGCAGGACGTCATGGCCCTGTACCACAGGATGGCGCTGGAAGAGCTGCAGAGCCAGTTTGGCCTGAAGGTGAGGCCACAGGCCCTGGGGGCGCAAGACTCACAGGGGACACGAGAGGCGGCCCTCGGAGAAGGCGCCTGGCCTCCCTCCCCATCACAGAGTCGGGGGGGACTGTACATGCGGTCACCTGACCCAGGACGCTTTCAGAGTGGGGTGGGCACCACTGCTCATCCCACCAGGACATCAGGGGCCTGCTCACTCCAGAGGGGCAGGAATGCAGCTCTGGGCACAGCCAACCATGGCAGAGGACACCCAAGCCAGAGGGCAGAGGGCAGGGCAGAGCCCAAGTCGAAGGGCAGAGGGCAAGGGCAGAATGGGGCCAAAGCTCCCACCTCCTGAAATTGTCACTAAGTGTCTAGAGCCATAGACAAGGCAGGGGACCCTTGCCTGGGATGCCTAGTGCCCCGGGAGGCTGCATGGTTCCTGGGCTGGTGCTGGTCCCAGGTGGCCTGCCAGGACACAGCCTCCCCCGAGCAGTCACGAGGAGCATGCATTCCAGTGTGGAGGGGACAGGAAAGGGACAATGACATTTAGAACGTGTCAGGAAGCAGGGGTGGGGGTGGGATGGGGGCAGCTGATGGCTGCACCAGGAAGCCGACCAGAAGTGAAGAGGACCCAGTGTGGTGCAGACAGCAAGTCCCTGCCTGAAGCAGGGGCCCCGGCCCGTCAGAGACAGAGAGGCCACGGGGCGGGGGGGGGGACTGGGGGACACGAGGCGGAGGCAGGAGGTGGCCAGTGCGAAGGCCTGGACCCTGCCCTGGAGGGGTTCGGGGCGTGGCAGGGCGTGACTTGGTCCCTGTTTAAGAGGGTCTGGCTGCGGAGGAGGAAACAGGCCGCAGGGGACAGGGCAGTGGCAGGGAATGTTCTAGAAGCTGTGAGATCCAGACAGGAGCAAACGTGGCCAGAGCGGTGGCTCTGGGTTTACTGTGAGGGGTCTGGGAAGGGACTGAATGCGGGAAGTGAGAGAACGCAGGCGGCCTGCGGTTGCCATGGAGACTGGATGGGAGTGGGTTCAGGGGAACGTCCAGGCGCCCAGGGTTTGGGGCGTTTGGCTCACGATGCTCTTATAATGTTTGGAATCGTCCCAAAGTGCGCACGTCCCCACAGCCGTTCCTGAGATCAAGGCTTAACCACTGTGGACATCCCAGACGCCTCCGCACCCCCTTCCCGCCACCGCCTCCGCCCTCCTCCCAAAGCAGGCACGACCCTGGCGCTCGCGCCACTGCCGCGCCTCTGGGACTGGAGGGCGTGTGCCGGCTCGCACAGCCGCCCCTGCTCTGCGTCTTGCAGGCGAGACTCGCCCCTGCTGTGGCGTCCGGGGATCCTTCGCACGAGTTCAACTCCAGGAACATGCAACAATTACGTCCCAATTCTGCTGTCTTTGGGTCTTTTCTGAATAACGTGGCGATGCTTGTTCTCTGTGAGCAGTTGGCACGCACCTGGTGCATTTCGGTCAGGTACATGCCCAGGAATGAAATCGCCAGGTCCTGGAACGGCACACGCTCAGCCGTGAGAGGCCCCCGTCAACCTGTTTCTCTTTCCCCGAAGTCGATGCACAGATCTGCGCCCCCCAGCGTGGGCGTGACACCCGTTGCCAGCGCTCGGCAGCGTCTGGTCTTTGCATCTCAGCCATTTTGGTGGACGTGTCATGGGATTTCACCGGGGTTCCGTTTGACCGTCCCCACGGGCCAAGGAGGTTGGTGCTATTTCATGTCGATCGGTCAGCAGTTGTCCTCTTGCGTGAAACGTCTGTCCAAGTCTTGTCCATGTGCTGTATGCGGCTGTCTGCCTTTTCTTATGGACTTCTGAGTTCTTTGTGTCCTTTGGATGTGACTTTAGTCAGTCTGCGTGTGCAAACGTTTCCCCATCGGGCAGCTGGCTAGTTTACTCTCGTGATAGTTCTTTTGTTTCAAATGAGGTTTATCCAATGGTCCAATTAACGTGTCCTTTAAAGATGAAGCAATCTTTTCTCTATGGTTAGTGTTCTTTCCTGCTCCCAAGGTGGTTTAGGTCTACAATCTACCTTGAGCTGACTTTTTTATACACTGGGAGATGTCGGGCCTGTTTTGTTTCCTCCTTGTGGGTTTCCAGATAAGCCAGCCCCATGCATTGAGAAGACCTCCCCTTTAGCTCTGGTCTGCGCACGATCTTTGCTACTAATCGCATCTTTGTGTGTGTGCCTATGTGTTCCCGACTCTCTTCTGTCCCACTGGTCTCTTTACTGCTCCACGTGACAACCACCTACTCAGTTCACTACAGCGTCGGACAGCTTCGTCCTTCGGGACTGTCTTCACGGTTCTTGGGCCTTTGCATTTTCACATAAAACTTAAAATCAGCTTGTCAGTTACACACGCACATACACACACACGCACGCACACGCACATACCTGCTGGAGTTGTGACAGGGATGGCCTTGAATCTCCACGTCAATTTGGGGAACATTGACGTCTTTACGATGTTGAGTCTTCCGAACCATGAACCTGACACGTGCTTCCATGTATTTACATTTTCTTTAATTTCTCTAAGTTTTGTACTTCCTATTTTAAAGTCTTACACATTTATATGCAATAGATATCGTCCTACGTGTTTGGGTTTTTGTATTATAAATAGTATCCTTCTGTAATTTATCTTCTTATTGTTTGTTGCAGTACATAGAAATGCCGACTTTGTATCAACATGTAGCAATTTTACACAATTCACTTGCTAGTTCTCACAGTCTATCTGTAGATCCTTTCAGATTTTATACACATAGAACCATGCCATCTGTGAAAAATATCAGTTTTATTTATTCTCTTTCAATCTTTCTTGATTTTATGTCATGGTTTGTCTTACGGAGCTGGCCAGGACTTCCCACACAGCGCTGGAGTCGTGGGCATGGACGCCTTAGTCCGTCCTGCCGCCGGAGGGGAGCCTGCGGCATTTCGCAACATCTTACGTTTGCGGTGGTTTTTTGTTTTCATTGCTGCTGCTGTTTCATGGGTTTCCTTTACCAGATATAGAACTTGACTTCTATTTTTAGTTTGCTAGTAGACGGCAGATTGTATTAAATGCCTGTTCTGCAACTACTAAAATCATCGTGATTTCCGTCCTTTATAAATCATGGTGAAGTATATTGGCTTGATTTCCGAGCGCTGCAGGGAACCCACATTCCTGGCGTGAGCCTCGTCTGGCTGAGCGGCGTCACCGGTTCACGCCAGCGTGGCTGAATTCTATCTGCTGGTGTCTGTTTAGGATCTTTGTGTCTCTGACATAAAGGACACCGGCTTGTTTTCTTCTCTTACAATATCCTTATTTCGGTGTTGAGGTTATTCTTGGCCTCTTAAATCAGACTGAAAAGCATTTTCTCTTTTCCTCTTCTCTGGAACGTTTTGGTAAGACTGGCAGTTTGTTTTCCTTAAATACCAGATCGAATCCACGGGTAAAGCCAGATGAGCCTGGAAATTTCTTTGTGGGAATATTTCAGATTAAAGATTCAGTTTATTTGACTCACGAGACTATTTTCGTTTTCTATTTCTTCTTCTGTCACTTTCGTTGTGGTTTTCTCGGGATTTCCCTATCATACGTACATTCTCAAATACATCGGCGTGGTCGCTGCGTGCTCCCTGTCCGTAGGCTCTGTGGCAACGTCACCCGCCTTTCCCTGCTCTGACCGTCCGCGCGATCTCTCTCCTCCGCGAATACTCTTCAGCAGGGGCTGGGTCTCTTAGACGCCCAGGAGCTGCGTCTACCTCTCCATTTCGCCCTTTCTCCCCACCCGCCCTCCCCAGGGATTTAACTGGACACTCTTCATACAAACTGTGCTGTCCTCTGTGAAAATCAAGCTGCTGCCCAACGAGGAGGTGGTGGTCTACGGCACCCCCTACCTGCAGAACCTAGAGCACATCATCGATGCCTACTCAGCCAGGTGCGGCCCAGGGAAGGTCCCCAGAGGCCTCCACCCTGTGCCCTATCTCTCCCCGTCCCCATTAAGCATCTACCACCAGGAGGGAGGGACACGAGGGGGTTGCATTTTGGTGGTCAGTGAGCCTCACTTCAGAGATGTGAGGCCTCTCCAGCACCCGGCGCACGGCCTCATAGGCTTTCTCCAGCAGCCAGAACTCTACGGAGCAGGACCAGCTGGCCAAGGGCCCCACGCCGTGTCCGCTCCGTATCCCTTGGCAAATACCGTTTGCCTGTTCTAGCCACCCCCTCCCGCCGTCTTCTGCCCCCAGGACCATGCAGAACTACCTGGCCTGGCGCCTGGTGCTGGATCGCATTGGCAGCCTGAGCCAGAGGTTCAAGGACGCACGAGTGAACTACCGCAAGGTGAGCGAGGCCCTGCCCTGCCCAAAGCGGGCCTGTTATTCTGTCAGTCAGTTGACGAGTCCAGCCCTGTGCTTTGGGGTGAGGCTGGACTCCTAGAGAACAGAGTCCAGCCGGATAACCAGGTCAAGGTGACAAGGACAGGGGCCGAGGAGGGACCCCAACTCCCCCAGCATAAAGCCCAACTCCCAGTCCGGGTGGGAGCCCCCCACTCAAATCTGCACACCGGCCGCCATGCCATGGCCAGCACCCAGAGGCAAGTCTCCGGGACCATCCCATGTCCCCCCCGGGCACCCTGAGGCAGAGGGCGGGTGGGTCTACTCAGGGCGGGACCTGGGGAGGCAGTGTCAGCACGCGGGGTGGGATCTACTCTCGGACACACCCCCAGGCCCTGTACGGCACGACCGTGGAGGAGGTGCGCTGGCGAGAGTGCGTCGGCTACGTCAACAGCAACATGGAGAGCGCTGTGGGTTCCCTCTACGTCCTGGAGGCATTCCCTGGGGACAGCAAGGACATGGTGGGTGGCCCTGCTTCCCGATGTGGCCAGCCCTTGTCCAGGCCCACCCTGGGGGCAGCTGGCCTGGCACAGGCTTCACAGGGACACCGGCCCAGGGCTGTGGGGAGCAGCCACAGCACAGTAGCAGCACGGTGACTCCCGCCCCACCCAGGCGGCAGGCGTCTGCTCAGAGGGACCTGGGGGTGCAGCAGACGAGGGGCCAGGGGAACCCCAGCCGGCCAGAGGTCCACCTGGGAAAGGCGCGGGCTATGCATGCAGAGTCCAGGGGTAGGACCTAAGGCCCAGCAGGGAGCACCCTGCACGGAGTGGTCATCCCCCACCGACCCGTACCTTGTCCAGAGAGGCCGCAGCCGGGGGTGGCCTGGGCTGTCCTGGCTCTGCTTCGGACCAGACCCCCCCGGAAAGACCCCAAGCTGGCCGTCCGCCCTGGGGTGAGTCTGGGACGCCAGGGCCGTGCCTCCCCCAGGTCAGAGAACTCATTGACAAGGTGCGGGCTGTGTTCGTGGAGACGCTGGACGAGCTGGCCTGGATGGACGAGGAGTCCAAGAAGAAGGCCCAGGAGAAGGTGCGCCAGCCTGGCGGGGCCTGGGCAGCCATGGAGGCAGCCGCAGCAGGCGTGGGGGCCCGGATGGAAGCGGGCAGCCCCTGGGCACGCGTCAGCACACCCACCTGAGAGATGAGGAACGGGGTGGGGGCAGTGGGGCGGAGGCAGGACGGAAGCCAAGCCCAGGAAATCCCCAACCGCCCCCAGGGACTGGCAGGGGCGGCCTCGGGAGCAAGGGCTGGGACCCATCAGAAGCCCTTCTGGGTCAGGGTGACAAACAGCAGCCCAGTGCAGCCTGCCAGCCCCTTGCAAGCCCCTCGGGCCCCTGGCTGGCTCTCGGGCTCTAAGGCTGGGTCTCTCCCCAGGTTCCTGGAAAGTTGGTAGGGGAGGCCGAGCCCATCACGTTCTGTCCCCATTAAACCTCTCCACAGGCTGTGAGGTGGAGCTGGGGGTCGAGTCCCTGAGTCCCGAGTCCCTTGCCCACAGGTCAAGGAGAGTTGAGCCAGGGTGCCCTGGGTCCAGCCCTCCCGGGGCGGGGCAGGCACCCACCAGCCCTCCCCTCCCCAGGCCATGAGTATCCGGGAGCAGGTCGGCTACCCCGACTACATCCTGCAGGAGAAGAACAAGCGCCTGGACGAGGAGTATTCCAACGTGCGCCCCGCCCAGCCACCACGCGGCTCGGCCCCTGTTCATCCCCAACCCCACCTGTCCCCAAACAGCCCCCTGTGGACAGGGGGCCTTGATCACTGGGAGGGGTGCTCCGTGCCCAGCCCCAGCACCGCGCTGTCCTCACCATGCCCTGGGGCGGCTCCAGCACTACCCTCCATTTACAGATGGGGAAACTGAGGCCTGGAGGAACTAGGGACTTGCTCAGAGCCAGGGCTGCCCTCTGCCCCCAGTCCCCCCCCACCCAGAGCCTGCTAGCCGTGTGCCGGCTGCCTGGCAAGCCTTGAGGTCTTCCCCAGCCACACCTGGCCTCTCCCTTCCCCACTGTGGACCCAGCCCCAGTGCTGGCAGTGACTGCCCCTGTCCTGTAGCTGAACTTCTCAGAGGACCTGTACTTTGAGAACACCCTGCAGAACCTCAGGGCAGGTGCCCAGCGGAGCATAAAGAAGCTTCGAGAAAAGGTGGACCAGAATCTGTGAGTGGTGTGGCCACCGTGGCATACGGGGCCCCAGGGAGTGGCCGGCATGGCATGCAGGGCTGCTGGGCCTCCCTCGGAGTCCCCCCAGCACCCTCTGCTTTCAGAGGCCTGAGCTGCCCCTCCTCAGGGACCTCAGAGGGGAACCCAACCCCGGGATTGGCCCGGGACCCTGCTCTGGCATGGCCACTGTGACATGGGCCTCCTCACGGTGGGCTCTGGTCAGCTGGGGCAGGGACAGTGCAGAGGGACGGTCCCAGATGTGGGCCCCAGGTGACAGTCTTGTTTATCACAGCTGGATCATCGGGGCCGCCGTGGTCAACGCATTCTACTCCCCGAACCGAAACCAGATTGGTACGTTCGCCCCTCCCCACCTGCCCCAAGCCCTTCAGTGCCAGAGATCAAGGGCAACTTGCAGCTTCTTGCCCTCCCTTCATCCTGGGGGTGCCCCAGCCTGTTCTTGCCCACCTCACCCTTGCCCACCTGCAGGGAAGAGTGTCCATGGGGGGTTGGGTTGGGGGGCAGCAAAGACCCTTTTCCTGAAGGTGCACAGAATGCTAGAAAGAAGCTGGACGTGGGACCTGCACCCGCCAGGCACTACCCTGCCCTTCTGGCCTCAGAGCCTCAGTCTCCTCTTCTGTAAACTCGGGGCCCTGACCTCTACCTCCCCAGCTATGGGTTTAGGTGACAGGACCCCTGGAGGCGCCCACGCCTAGCCTGGCACACGGGAGATGTGCCCACTCACAGTTTATTCTCTGTCCCCCGCTGGGGACAGTGTTCCCCGCCGGGATCCTCCAGCCTCCCTTCTTTAGCAAGGAGCAGCCGCAGGCCTTGAACTTTGGGGGCATTGGGATGGTGATCGGGCACGAGATCACGCACGGCTTCGATGACAATGGTGAGAGCCACACCCACTCCTGTCTCCACTGAGCAGCAGCGGACAGGGGCCTGGGGGCTGTCCACTCAACCCCTTCGTGGTTTAAGTGGGGACACTGAGGCCAGGGTCTGGGATGACGTGCCAGGTCCCCCAGGGAGCTGCAGGGGCAGGGCGAGTCTTGAGTGCCAGGCTGGGGCGCCGTCCAGGGCACCTGCTCCAGGTACGGAGGCAGGGACGCAAGGGCTCCATCCCATGATCTGACTCCACCTGGCGACTGGTCACTTCCCCTCCCTCGGCCTGGGAAACAAGGACAGAGGCACTGCCCAGCACACCTGTGAAGCTCGGGGTCCTGGCCTGGCCCAGTCCCAGCCCAGGATCCTCTCCAGGAAGCCAGCACCCTCCAGCCAGGGATGTGCTGACCCCGACATGCCAACCTCCACCAAGCACGGGGCCCCAGCTGGTTTCCCCATGCGGGTCAGCCACCAGGGCCTTCCCTGGGCAGCCACATGTCCTCAGGGACCACGTGCGCCCCCCACCTAGGGTTTAGAGAGTTTGGACATCACGGAGTCCTTAAACCATGGTGCCTCTGAGACCCCAGGCCCTAACTTCATAGGGTGGCATGGAAGACCACTGAAGCCCACCTTGTCTGGGGGGCTGAGACCCAGAGCACACCAATGCTGTTCCAGGCCCATCCCTCCCACTCTGGGGCTGGCTGGAGAAGGGGCAGGAGAGGCTGGGTGCTGGGCCACCGCCTGCCATCTGCCGGAGGGGCCGGGGCGCAGGGGCGGGTAGGCAGCCCGCCTCACCCCTGCCCCTTCCCAGGCCGGAACTTTGACAAGGACGGCAACATGATGGATTGGTGGAGTAACTTCTCAACCCAGCACTTCCGCCAGCAGTCGGAGTGCATGATCTACCAGTATGGCAACTACTCCTGGGACCTGGCAGACGAGCAAAATGTGAGCGTGCCAGGGCTACCCAGCTACCCGGGGGACTCGGACCCCAGCCTGGCCCTGGGGGAGCGGGGCAGCCAGGCCCCTCATGCTGACTCCTGTGTGCAGGTAAACGGATTCAGCACCCTCGGGGAAAACATTGCTGACAACGGAGGGGTGCGGCAGGCCTACAAGGTGGGTGCAAGCAGGGCCCCCAGGGAGGCGGGGGGAGCAACCCGGCCCGGCAGGAGACAGGGCCCAAGATGAGGCTGTGTCCTGGGAACCGCCTCCCTCGGCGCTGGGCAGGCAGCAGGGCGTCTCCGCCCCACTAGCCACCTCCAGGAAAAGCTGAGCCATCACACGCCCCCTGCGCCCACAGCCTCAGGGACAGGGGCGCACTAGGTGTCAGAAGCTCATTCTGGGGGTGCCATGCTGGCCAGGGATCCCCATAGAGTCCAGCCGATGTAGGTGTTCAGAGGGCCCCTGCGTAATTAAAGTGGGGAGCACTCGTGGGGCCGGGTGCAAAGGGGCCCCAAGCTGCAGGAGCAGGACCCCCACTCTGCGGGGAGATCTGAGGACTTGGAGTCCGGCCAGCCGGGCCAACTGTCACGTGCCCGCAGGCGTACCTAAAGTGGACGGCCGAAGGCGGCAAGGACCAGCAGCTGCCAGGACTGGATCTGACCTACGACCAGCTCTTCTTCATCAACTATGCCCAGGTAGGGCCACGGTCCCGGCCCCACCCACCGCCACCTCCCCACTGCACGCCTTGGGAGGGCCCACTGCGGGCCCCTGCAGGAAGAGGCCGGGGGCAGCGGGAGGGAGTTGGGAACGCAGAAGTGCGGGGAGGCGAGGAACCGGGCGCCGGCTGCCCCCGCCTGCCCCGCAGCCACGCCCCTCCGCTCCCACAGGTGTGGTGCGGGTCCTACCGGCCCGAGTTCGCCGTCCAGTCCATCAAGACTGACGTGCACAGCCCCCTGAAGTACAGGCAAGTCTGCCCGCGCGCCCCCGCGTCTCACCGCTCCGCCCGGGCCCCGCGCGCCCCCCGGCGCCTCACCCTCCACCGGCCCGCGCGCCCGCTTTCAGGGTGCTGGGATCGCTGCAGAACCTGGCCGCCTTCGCCGACGCCTTCCAGTGCTCCCGGGACACCCCCATGCACCCCAAGGAGCGATGCCGCGTCTGGTAGCCAAGGCCGAGCCGCGCTGCGCGGCCCACGCCCACCCGCCGCCCGGAGGCGCCCGCGGGGACACAGTGCCACGGTGCCACGGGGACCGCGTGCGCCCCGCGCCCGGCCTGGAGCGCAGCCGCCGCCCCCGCAGGACTCCCGGGTGAGCAGTGTCCAGAGCGGCGCCCCTCCGCGCCCGCCCGCGGGGCCGGTGTCCCGTCGCAGCCCAGTAGACACGACCAACTGTCTTCCGCCCACTCTCCAAGCGCGTGCTCCTCAAATGTCCGGAGCTTCAGACTCGAGCTAAGTAAACGCTCCGAAGAAGTGGCCGCCTTGTCTGTCTGGGAGGGGCGCGGAGCAGGGTAGTCAGGTGGCAGTGGCCTCCTGCAAGACAGCGGCCTGTGGGGAAAGTGACAGTTGGGAGCTGACCCGGAGGGAGGGGGTCCTGGTGCTGGCCCCAGCAGTGACCAGGATGCCCCCAAATGCCCGACTTCAGGGACCACACGTTCAGATGCGGAGCAGGGCTGAGGTCGAGAGGTGGGCCCAGGGGACCTGGGGAGCCACAGCTGGTGTTCTGCCACAGGAGGGTTCCAACGCAGAGGGACGTGCCACCTGCTCTGTGACCACGGAGAGGAGAAAGGCCTGGAGCAGGCAAGGGTGGGAGGGAAGCGAGAGACCAACAAGGAGGCCACTGTGGTCACCCAGGCTTGGAGGAGGGAAGCCCGGTGAGGCACCAAGGTGGCCTTCAGAACCGGTCAGAGCTGGGTTGTCTGGACGTATGGCCTTGGGAGGAAGTGACCAGACGGTGAGGTTACAGTCCCCAGCACCTCACGTGCCAGCCATCCCCTCTGAGGGACAGCAACTTTCATGGCAGGAAGGTGACACCACGGGACCCACAACTGCAGTGGAAGCAGCGGGGCTCCAGCCAGCTCACTGCTGCCTGGGGTCAGGCAAGGTTCAGGGTCCCTGCCCAGTGGCTCCAGAACGATTCTGTGAATCCACCACCCGGCACACCCAGGGCAGCATGTGCCTCCCGGATCCTCGGAGGCTGGGGCTTCACTGCCCATGCACATCCTTGTCACACTGCAGAGGCAGCAGGGTCCCACCAGGCTGGCCCCACTCCCCAGGGGCCAAGAGCAGCTGAGCCACACACCCAAACAGAGAAGGGGAAGGCTGGACACTGCAGGTGGCCTGACCCATCAGTCACTCCCCTGCATTCAGGGCATAGGTCGGCACCAGGACCCGATTATGCCTGACAGGGCCACCTCGGACAAACCCCAGCCCTCCTGAGGCTGAGAGGACAGGCCTTTCTTCACCCCACAGCGCTCTATGCAGTCACCACCCTCTGGGGAGGGCCCTAATGTGCCCGCCCACGTGGCCACCCTGCCCCTCAGCCCCACTCAGCCTGTACCTCCTCTGCAAAGTGGGGTCACAGTGACATCTACATCCTGGGGCCGCTGTGAGCACAGATGATAGCCCGAGAGGCTGAACTCAGCTCCTGGCCACACCAAGTGCTTGTCCCAGGGGAGTGGGGGAGGGGCAATTGGCAGGCCCACCTGAGGTGGCCCGCTGGCACACACGTCGGCAGAGATGCCCAGGGCCTACAGGATGCTCTCCTTGGGGACGTAGTCACCCGGGGACTTCTGGATGAAGTGCTGTAGCACTTTGTCACCACCTGCAGCTCCAGGCAGGTGGTCAGAGGCCCGGGGAGGCTGCCTGCCCCTCGCAAGCATGTGCTGGGTGGAGGGAGGGTTGGGCAGCCCTGGCTGGTCACGACCCCCACCCAGTTACCAAGATGCGTGAGCTGTTCTGCCCAAAGCCCCCGCCCAGCCAGGCCAACACTCAGAGCGGGGCCACACTGCAGAGAAGAGCCGTGCTGAGACTGACCGGCCAGAGAGAGGGGCCGGGTGCAGTCGCCAGGTGCAGAAAGGCCTTCCCACCTGAGGCTGTGGCCTGCGGCCCTCCTGGACCCACCTGTGCTGGCTACCAGCAGCCCTCCACTCTGGCAGGTCCCCAGACAGCCTTGGCTTGAGGGTCGGAGGGCAGGGCCCAGGTCGGACCTAGAGGCAAGGCCCCAGGGGCTCCCGCCTCGCCTCACGCTGGACCGCCTTGGCTATCACAACCTTGGCGGCCACGGCTCGTGCAGGCTTCCCAGGGCGTCTGGCAGGATACGAGCGTGTTGTTCCTGCGACAGCACCAGCTCCTGGGCCAGACTCTGGTGAAGCCTGAGTTCGGCGTGTGCCCGTCCCCACCAGACGCACAGACCAGTTCCCGGGTCAGGCCCACGCCACCCATCTCACCGGAGGTTCAGAGATGGCATGGGGCAGCCCAGCCCACCAGCAGGCTGGGCACTCAGCCAGGGTGCAGGGAGGATGCACTGGGCCCCAGGCTGGGTGTGCCGGAGCATCTGGCTCAGGGGAGGGGCATGTGGCACAGGCACAAGAAGGCTGGCATGGCCCCTGCCTGCGGCACCAGGCTCCACGTCCCTCTGGTGGTCTGGGCACTGCAGCCTGTGCAGAGCAGGCCCTGGGTGAGAGGCCTCGTTAGAGACACAACACCCCAGAGAGAATCGGCGAGGCTGGCCAGGGCAGTCCATGCCACCAGAGCCCACCTGCCTGGGAAGGCCTGAGTGCACAGCAGAGCAGAGGCGCCAAGGAGAGGAGGAATGCAGGAACAGGGGCGCCCTGGGCCCCTCTGCCAGCTCAGGCGGACTCTGCCCTTTAGCCCATGCCACCCCCAGGGGTGCGCCCACAAACACACTCACCGCTTGGAGCCCAGCTCCTTATAGAACTGCTTGCTCTCATCCAGGTAGAGCTCTGGAAAGCAGAAGCCACAGGTGTGCGCGCCAGGCCCCGCCCCAGCTCCCACCCAGGCTCACCCTCCTGCACTGTCCCTCTGTCCTTCAGTGCCCAGCTCGCCCACCCAGGGCTCCAAGAGGCAGAGCAGGGCTGAGTGTTCCCACTTTTCGGAGGAGGGGTTGAGATCCAGACGTGACGGGTGGCACGGGAGGGGCAAAACTTGCCAGACTCTGCCACTGGGCCCAGGCTCTGCAGGGCACACTGTGGCTGCCAGCTGGGGACAGGGAAGCAGGCAGAGATGACAGCCAATGACCTATGAGCTACCAAGGCCCTTCCAGAGAGAGGAGGGCCAGAGCTGCACAGAGAAGGGGCTGCTGAACGCCTGAGATTGGGGAAGGGTCTCCGGGACGGGAGGGCGGACGACGGGGACAGCGGGGAACCACCTCCCGCGAAGGAGCCTCTGTCCAGGGACTTCCGCAGGCCCGGGGCCTCGGGCCCACGCCCGCCAGGCGCACGCCGTGCTGGCCCAGGGCCGCCCGGAGCTGCTGAGGCCCCGGCGACACCGCGACACTCCACACAGCCGAAGCGCCGAAGCGCGGCCACCACGCGCCCGCTCCCGCCACAGGCCCCGCCCCGACGGGTCCCGCCCGCGACTCAGCCCCGCCCGCGACTCAGCCCCGCCCGCGACTCAGCCCCGCCCGCCCCAGGCCCCGCCCGTCCCAGGCCCCGCCCGGAGATGGCCGCCGGCCCCGCCCCGCGCCCGCCTCAGGCTCGGCTCCGCCCCAGCCCCAGCCCCAGCCCCGCCCCTTAGGCCCCGCCCCAACATGGCCGCGCGCGCCGCAGCCCCGCCCCCCGGCTGCGCAGATACGGCCTGGGCATGACTTTTGCGGAAGCTGGGCGGCCACGGCGCAGGAGCCAGTGCGCCTGCGCGGGGGGCGGGGCCGCGGGTGAGATCCCGTGTCGCGAGCACGAGGGGTCGCGGGCGGGGTCCTGGCAGGCTGGGCGCTGTACGGCTGTGTCCAGCCGCGCGCCCGCGTGTCACCCGCAGACCTGGCGACCCGGCCCGGGAGGTAAAGGGCGGCCGGCGGAGGCCGGGCGCGGGAAGACGGGCCGTCGCCGCGTCGGAAGGGAACGGTCGCCCAGCGCGGGCCAAGCGGAGCCCGAGGCGGGGAGTCGCTCGCGGCCCCGGGAGCAGGGCGGACTGGGGGGGCACCCCGGGGAGCGGGGGCCCCGCAAGCAAGAGGGGGGTCAGGGGTCAGTCCGCCCCCCCCCCGTGCCCGCCCTCCGGGGCGGGAGCCTCCCGGCACTGCCGGCCGCCCGCGCAGGTGGGCGCAGGCGCTCCCGCGCACGGATAAGGGGCAGCGGGACGCCCCGCCCTGGAGGCCAGCCGGGCCCCAGAGTTAGATCGACGGGAGGCGGACGGGAGAACAGCGCAGGTTTATTTGGCACAAGTTTCCGCGGCTCGGGAACCCTCTTGAGGAATGAGGGCCGGTGGAGCGATTAGTCGCCTACCTGCCCAGTCGGACGAGGAATGCTAAGGTGTGAGGAAGCATCTAGGTTACCTGGGCAGGCTGAGAAGGTGAAAATTATTTTAACAAGGTCCACAGAGAATTCGCTGTCTCAGCTCCTTCTGACGGAGCGAAGGATCTTTCCAGCACAGGGAGGTGCCTCTCACCTGGGAATGTCACCTTCAGCTTTTAAGAAGCAGGAAGGAGGTGAGAATGATCTTCTCCGACCTGCTCTGTTTTTTAAATACGTTTAATCCAAGGTAGTCGCTATGCCAGACCAGAATATTTTGGGGTGGCGTCTTCTCCACTTGCTCACACGCTGTGCACGTATGGCACACATGAAGTAAACAGATGTATTTACTTTTTACTCAAGTATAATGTACATGCAGAAAATTGCTCCTCCCTTCCACGTATAAACAAACTCTCATCCGTCGGCGACGTGTCAGCTTTCGCAGGTTGTGCTGTGTAACAACCCCCGAGCCTCGGCAGGTCACAGCAGCCAGGTGTGGGCTGTGGCGTGGCTCTGCTCTTCCTGCCTCCTCGTTCTGGGGTCTGAGCTGAGGGAGCCGCGGCTCTCTGAAACATGCCGTTCTGACAGTGGGCAGAAAAGCAGGAGACGTAGGGAAACCACACCGTGGCTCTTTCAGCTGATGCACAGAACCGGGACACGTGGCTTCTGCTCCCGTGCCTTTGGCCAGAGCAAGTCACGTGGCTG